TAGTGAAAAACAGAAAAAGATGAGTAGGGAAATAAATGTCAGTGGCCTCCACCTGTAAAACCATTCCTGTTTTGGGAGTCGTCTCATTGTTGTCATTTACACCAAAGCAGCTGAAACTGATTAAACAATCCCCCTCTGCTACTTAACTGACCAGATCAATATCCCAAGTGTTTAATTGACTTGCTATACCCTGATTAAAAAAAGTGTTCCATTAATTTTTTTGAGAAGTTTAATATAATGTGAGTGGCTTTCTATCTGAGAGAGATTTTTAGAAAACAGTATTGCACTATATTGATATTTTGCATTTTGCGTAAAACCTTGTGGATCTTCATGTGAGAAAATCACTGAAGTACCAGACACAAGGAGACACAGAGCTGAAGTGACTAAGAATAATTGATTAGATATACACCACGGATATGAAGGGTAAGTTTGTTGCTCGGACAAAGCAGATCACATTACCGCTGTGTTCGGGCGATCAGTGGTGTCATACCATGTGACTGCTGTGACCAATCACAGCACTCACATAGTAAACACTGGAAACTGAAAGTAAAGATCGCTTCTCTCTGCTCTCAGTGTGAGAGAGCAGAGAGAAGCGATCCTGCAGTGTGCGAATGTACAGAAGCCTGTCAGGCTGCTTGTATGTATATATATCCCAAACCAACACCCTGATCACTGCCATATGCCGTACCAGTGCCCTGATCACCGCCATACACCATATCAGTGTCCTGATCACTGCCATACCATCACCCTGACAACCACCATACCCCAATACCAGCGTTTTGATCACTGGGATACCCCATACCAGAGCCCTGATCACTGCAATACCCTATACCAGCATCCTGATCACCACCATGCCCCATACCAGCATCCTGATCACAGCCATGCCCCATACATACCAGCATCCTGACCACCCCATATCCCATACCAGCATCCTGACCACTGCCATACCCCATACCAGCATTCTGATCGCCACTATACCCTATACCAGCATCCTGATCACAGCCAAACTCCATACCCCTTAACAGCATCCTGGCTACTGCCATACCAGCGTCCTGATCACTGCCATACCACATGCCAATATCCTGATCACTGCCATACCCCATACCAGCATCCTGATCACTGCTATATGCCATATCAGCATCCAGCATTTTAGGATCTCAACTGATCAATTTTCAGTTATATATCCTACAGTTTGTAGACTCTATAGCTTTCACACAAGCTAAATAATATAAACGGTTTGGGGTTATTTTTACCCCAAAAATTTAGCAGAATATATGTTGGCCTAAAGTTATGAAGAAAAATTATCTATTTGCAAAATTTTATAACAAACTGAGCAAAAAAATGATTTTGTTTTTCAAAATTTAAAGATATTTTTTCATTATATAGCAAAAATAAAAAACCCCAGTGGTGATCAAATAAAGTTCTCTCAGAAAAAAAAAAAAATTATTTCATATGGGTACAGTGTGGCATGGCTAGGTAATTGTCACTCAAAGTGTGATAGTGCTGAAAGCTGAAAATTGGTCTGGACTGGAAGGGGGTGAAAGTGTCCGGACTTGAAGTGGTTAACTGTGTGCAATATGTGCTGCTTTTACTAAGAGATCATGCTGTTTTTTTTTTTCTCCTCTGAGAAAAATAAAACAGCCAGATTTTGATTTCTGTACAGAGCCCTATGTGTTTGCCTCACTGGCCAGGACCGGGTGACAAAGTCAAGTAGTCAGCGACAGCGCAGTTCATGACAGGGGGGCGAGCGCATGTATGCCCTGAAGCTGGAAGACGCACCATTGTATATGTGATACCCAATGGAAGTTACTAGCATCAGATGATACACAGACAAAGAAATCCTCCTACATACACTGTACCTGTTTATCTGCAGTCATCTTCTGTCCTCTACAGCCATTCAAAGTCCAGAATTTACACAGGATCCTTCTCATCCATTACACGGGGGGGGGGGGGGAATAGTGCAGTGAGGGGACCCTGGTGGGGGGTCAAGGGAGGGGGTGGAAGGGGTGGGGGGGGGGGGGTGTACATTATACAAGACGGAGGGGCCGGAGGAGCTGATGATATCCTTGAACAGGCTGTGTGATGGAGCTTCCTTTTCCCCCAATCACCTTTTTATCTCTTTGGCAGCAGGAAATGCTGTCAGAAATGGCTACATACAGATAACAGAACGTTTATGAGGTGGGGAGTGGAGGCAGGTCTCAGCCATATTTCAAAGTCCTGAGGTTTACGGGGGGGGGGGGGGGGGGGGGGGGGGTGGGGGGGGGAATTGTTCCTTGTGGGTCCCTATAGGGGGTGGGGGGGGGTTCACACACTGAGTGGGAGGCTCCAAGCCCTGGGGGGGAGGGGGGGGGGGGTTGGGGGGATGGGACTCACACTCAGGTTCACAGTAACTGGGGGGGGGGGGGTTTTAGGGGGGGTGGTGAAATGATTTGAAATACACTCACAGCAACTGGGTGTGGTGGAGCATTTTGTGCTGGTTGTTAAGAGCTCGGCGTCCTAATCACACCAAGTGACTTTGGCTGCTCAAGATCATCCCTACAACAGGTCTGTGTGAGTGGAGATTCCTGACCTTTGTAAAACTAAGAGACGAGCATTGGGGGTAAAAAACAAAATCACCGTGGGGGTTCCCCATCTCTTGGCCAGCAGGAAAAGCTGTCAGAAGTGGCTCATGCAGATAAAATACCAGACGAATGAGGCTTTGGAGAACCCAGGCAGGTACAAAAATATTTCATGCCTGAGGTTTACGACCGCTTTAATGCATGCTGCATCTCAATACCACACTAGTTTGGGGCATTTCCACATTCAATAGATCCTTGTGGTCCCTATGGTCCCATTCACACCTGAGTGTTTTGAAGCTCCAAGCCCCTAAAAGCTCAGGGAGGAAAAAAAAAAAAACACGTTTTTGACAAGTCTAATATTTTCTATTGAGATGGTTCACTTATTCACTCCAGGTCGCCTGAAACTGAAAAAAAGTTTTAGAGCTACTTTTGCAGCTCAATTTTGAGAGTTTTTTTCTGTATAGAAATGCATTGAAACACGCAATTCGCAACATTTTGTGTGTTTTTGGAGCATTTTGTGCTGGTTGTTAAGAGCTGGCGTCCTAACAACCAGTGACTCACTCCTGCTGTCAGACAGCAGGGATAAGTCTTCTGTTGTTAAGGAGCCAGCACCTGCCAGCAGCTTCCTACCAACCATGAGTCATCCCCGCTGTGAGTGGGAGATTCCCACTGACAGCAAAATGTAAACATAAGAGAGACAGCATTGGGGAAAAAAAAACAAAAAAAAACAGCGTGGGGGTTCCCCAATACATACCAGCGCCCTTCAAGTCTGATATGGTTTTAAGGGGGACCCCACAACAAAAGAAAATAATAATGTGTGGGGTCACCTCCAAAAGCCATACCAAAATACCAGACCCTTATCCAAGCATACAACCCAGCAGGCCACCTACTTGTCTCTTCCTGGCACAGCACCACATCCTTATGTTGATGAGGACAAGGGCCTGTTCCCCACAACTCTGGCTCGGTGGTTGTGGGGGTGTGGGGGCAGCAGCATATCAGAATCTAGAAGCCCCCTTTATGAAGGGGGCCTCCAGATCTCACCTCCCCAATGTGAATGAGTAGGGTTAGTACCTATATTATCCCTACTCATTCACCAAAAAATGCCAAAAATAAATAGAAATACAAACACGTTTTTTACTCATGGACAAGTCCTTTATTAAAGTTTTACTAAACCCAGAACCCTGAATTCACTCTACCTGGTCCTTTTTGGGCGTTACCTGCAGGACTCCACCCCTTCCTTTTGCACAGAGGGGGAGTAGTTGGGTTTCCATTATCACTTGGTTTCATATATTAATCAATATGTATTTTATTTACTGCTCTGAAGAAGGGAGTTTGGCTCCCGAAACACGTTAGCACTCTTCACCCAAGGACCTCCGCTGTCTGCGATTGTCATCTCTCGGGCTCCTTGTCTCTGTTTTTATGACCTTTTTGGTTTGTGAGTATGCATTTGTAATTTTACAATAAATGTCCTATTTATCACGATAATGCACGAGGAGAATGCGGCCTGTTTTATTCTTTTTTTGCGAGCATAGATGTCTATTTAATGTTTAGAATCAGCCAGAAGGTAGGAGACTTTAGTCAAAACATTTTTTGCCAGTGCTGGGAACAGTTAATGATCTCTGTAAGGTTTTCATTGTTATTTGTTCCCCCTGTTGTGCACATTTCCTTTCACTTACTAGGAAAACAAAAAGGAAACTAGAAAAAAGATTTAACCATCTTTTCTACTCTGCTAAAAATCATAATAAAAAAGGATCTGCATCTTCTAATGACCTTCTCTTCTCCCCCAGGTGATGACAATGTTTAAGCCTAGCATTTCGATCAGCGGTCTCCAAACGTTCTAAACAAAGGGCCAGTTTACGTTCCTTCAGCCTGTAGGAGGGCCAGACTAGCCATTGGGTGTAGAAAAGGTCCTGATGTCAGTGGGAGGAATAGCACTCCATCAGTGGCGGGCATTGGGAGGAATTCTGCCTAATAATTGGTGTTATTGGGCCCAATTATTGGTGCCAATGGGAAGAATTGTGCCCCTTCATTGGTGTCAGTGGAGGTAATTATGCCCCATTGTTGGTATCAGTGGATGAAATATTGCCCCAAGGGCTGGATAAAAGCATGCACAGGGTCACATCTGGCCCTCGGGCAGCAGTTTGGAGACCACGGATTTAGATGATCAGGCCCGAGTACTCTGCCCTGAAAGGAAGGTGATATAGGCCACATGCTCCTCCTTACCTGGAATAACAAAGCTGCAGGTATGTATAACAAATGAGAGTATTAGTGGATAGAGGGTTTTTGGGCTCTCAAGAAAACTTGACACCTTTTTGGGCAAAATAACAAATTCTCTTTCAAAATGGGACATAGTACATTTATGATAATGACATGAACAAATTTACCTCCTCCACTTTATTGCCATAAATAATATAATAACATATAAAGACAATTCGTACTTACCCCATTAAGACTGCCCAAATCCTTCACTAAATGCTCATCCGCAGATGCTTCATAGTTGATAACGGCATGTTGTTTGTCCACACTTCTTGACTATAAAGCATAATTTAGAAATAAATCAGCATGTCAATATACTTCACAAAAACATTCACTTAATGTGATACATTGATCAGTGTACATATATATACTGTACTAGCTACTTAAGAATCTTCTTCTATCCATATTCTTATCTCCTTCTGGCAGACGCCACTCTAATGCAAAGAAATGTTCTAATGAAGTCTCTTCAACACTTATGGAGTGTCAGTTTTTTCTGGGTTTCTCACTGCGCTGCTACAGGACACAGAAGTGAAAAAGGGGTCGGTGAGAAGAGCCACTCATATCCTGCTGTAAAAATCTGTGAGCAGGTAGGCTTTTATTGCAGAAGAGACATGCACGGTGTCGTGTTCACTAAAAAGCCCCTACCTGACATGCTATACAAGCTCAGAAGCAAACGATCCCTCATCAGATCCAAGTCTAGGCTGCTTACTTAGGTATTACACACTTCTTTGCGCAATGGTTTAATATCCCACATCTACAAGGTATTACTCTCCTCTACCCAGGACCATGCGAGTTTGAAATCTAGGGCCCAGTGGATTGCGGATCTGGGGGAGATAGGGGGTGATCGTTGGGATTTGGCATTGGAGTCAGTACCTGTATCATCCCTGTCGGCCCCACACAAGTTATCCCAACTATTTATCTTTCACAGGGCATACCGAACACCAGTTAGTTTGTTTCAATGGGGCAGGAGAGATACACCTTTGTGCCCAAAGTGTATGGCACACAGAGGGGACTTTATTCACATGATTTGGAGATGTCCAAAATTAGCAAGATATTGGGAGGATGTTCTAGGGGTTGTGTCTTCCCTCTCCCAGACTCCTGTCCCTTCGGAATCATTAGTGTGTCTATTGGGAGCGCTGGACCCTGAATTTTACTGTCCGGGTATCTATATTAGGATTACTCATCTCTTGTATTTAGCAAGAAAACCAATAGAAGATATTGTACCAGACAGCCAATATCTAGCTAAGAAATGCTGGGTGGAGTATGTTTTAATTCTCTAGTTTTACGAGAACAAATTACCTATCGTCACCGTAATGCCCCAGGTATATTTGAGCTAATCTGCATAACTGGTTAGATACGCCCAGCTTGGCACCTCCAAGACTGATAATGAACAGACTTTTACAAATCTGATACACTACAGCTAGTTGATCGTTGAAATTGAACTTGATGGCCCGCCCGCAACTGTTATTATCGTTCCTGTTGTGCGTTCTGCTCTTCTTTTCTTTCTTTTTCTTCTTTGACTTTTGTTTCCTCTACTCAACCTCTACATACTCTGTAAATTTTTACTGATGTGATCTTAAAACTCTGCAACAAAGGGCTATAATGATGTAGTCCTATTATGTATGCTGTATAAGAACAATGTTCATTTTTCTTGTACCAATTTTTATGATTGTCTACTGCCCTGCTATTTGCTCCTGTATTTTCTTTCATTTTCAATTTAAAAAAAAAAAGTTTGGATTAAAAAAAAAAAAATTAGAAAAAAAAGCCCTACCTGCCTGCTCGCCATCTCCTCTGGCACTGTAAGGTCTTTGCGTGCCGAGATGACGGCCTCTAGTGCATGCACAGGAGTGACCTCATCCCGCAGGCCAATAAAGAGGCCCGAAGACCGGCCAGAAGATGATGTCGGTGCAGGGTAAGTATGAAAACTTTAGTTCCGCTTTATTGCGGTGTGGGCAGAAAGATATATTTATCTCTTGCAGATATAGAAAAGCTTGGTTTAAAGCTGTAGTTTAGGTTGTTTTTTTTTTTTTTGCAGTTTCATTGGCTCAGTTTGAACCAAAGTTAGGTATGTATGTACTATACCTCACTGATCCCTGTGGAAGCTAGAAATCACTGTAGTAGGCCACTAGCTTAAGGGTCCCATGCCGAGCAGATGCCCTTCTTCACAACATTACATAGCGTGTCACTTGCTGGGCACAGACACCATTCAGAGAATACTTTGCATTTTTCACAATGAATGCAAAGTGTTCTCTGATTGGATGAGGTAGTGAGGTGAGCAGTGAAGTCATGATTACCACCTTGTACAATCACAGGATGCTTTGCATTCTCTGTGAAATGCAAAGTGTTCTCTAAATAAAGTCTGTGCCAAGTCGGCAACTATGTTACTATGCAGCATGCAAGCTTCAGCGACACAGGAACTGGAAGCTCCAGGCAATCACTGTAGCATGCAGTGTCTACTACAGTGATTTCCATCTTTCACATGGATCCCACAGGTATGACACATGCATACGTATTTGCGGCGTATAAGACGATGGGCGTATAAGACGACCCCCCCTACTTTTCCTGCTAAAAATGTAGTGTTTGGGCTATACTCGCCGTATAAGACTACCCCTCTTCCAATGCACACCAGTGGGAGGAATAGTGCCCCATCATTGATGTCAGTGGTAGGAATAGTGCCGCATCATTGGCGTCAGTGGGAGGAATAGTGCCCCATCATTGATGTCAGTGGTAGGAATAGTGCCCCATCATTGGTGTCAGTGGGAGGAATAGTGCCCCATCAATTTGGTATCAGTGGAAAGAAAGAAATAGTGCCCCCATCATTGGTATCAGTGGGAGGGAATAGTGTCCCATCATTGGTGTCAGTGGGAGGAATAGTGCCCCATCATTGGTATCAGTGGGAGGAATAGTGCCCCATCATTGATGTCAGTGGGAGGAATAGTGCCCCATCATTGGTGTCAGTGGGAGGAATAGTGCCCCATCATTGGTATTAGTGGCAGGAATAGTGCCCCATCATTGGCATTAGTGGCAGGAATAGTGCCCCATCATTGTATCAGTGGAGGAATAGTGCTCCAATCATTGGTGTCAGTGGGGAGGAATAGTGCCCTATCATTAGTATCAGTGGAGGAATAGTGCTCCATCATTGGTGTCAGTGGGAGGAATAGTGCCCCATCATTGGTATCAGTGGCAGGATAGTGCCCCATCATTGGTATCAGTGGCAGGAATAGTGCCCCATCATTGGTATCAGTGGCAGGAATAGTGCCCCATCATTGATGTCAGTGGGGGGTGGAATAGTGCCCCATCATTGGTGTCAGTGGGGGGGGGGAATAGTGCCCCATCATTGGTGTCAGTGGGGGGGGGAATAGTGCCCATCATTGGTGTCAGTGGGGGGGGAATAGTGCCCCATCATTGGTGTCAGTGGGGGGGGGGAATAGTGCCCCATCATTGGTGTCAGTGGGGGGGGGGAATAGTGCCCCATCGTTGGTGTCAGTGGGGGGGGGGGGAATAGTGCCCCATCGTTGGTGTCAGTGGGGGGGGGGGGGAATAGTGCCCCATCGTTGGTGTCAGTGGGGGGGGGGGAATAGTGCCCCATCGTTGGTGTCAGTGGGGGGGGGGGGGAATAGTGCCCCATCGTTGGTGTCAGTGGGGGGGGGGGGGAATAGTGCCCCATCGTTGGTGTCAGTGGGGGGGGGGGGAATAGTGCCCCATCGTTGGTGTCAGTGGGGGGGGGAATAGTGCCCCATCGTTGGTGTCGTCAGTGGGGGGGGGAATAGTGCCCCATCGTTGGTGTCAGTGGGGGGGGGAATAGTGCCCCATCGTTGGTGTCAGTGGGGGGGGGGAATAGTGCCCATCGTTGGTGTCAGTGGGGGGGGGGATAGTGCCCCATCGTTGGTGTCAGTGGGGGGGGGAAATAGTGCCCCATCGTTGGGTGTCAGTGGGGGGGGGAATAGTGCCCCATCGTTGGTGTCAGTGGGGGGGGGAATAGTGCCCCATCGTTGGTGTCAGTGGGGGGGGGGAATAGTGCCCCATCGTTGGTGTCAGTGGGGGGGGAGGAATTAGTGCCCATCGTTGGTGTCAGTGGGGGAATAGTGCCCCATCGTTGGTTTTCAGTGGGAGGAATAGTGCCCCATCATTGGTATCAGTGACACCAATGATGGGGCACTATTCCTCCCACTGAGACTTGCTGACCTGTTCTCGTATGGTGCTGCTGCAGCCAGCATATGTGGTTGCAGCAGCACCTCTACACAGAACACTTACCTGCTGCTCCGGCACTCAATTTTCGCGGGGCCGCTCGGCTCCGCCCCCCCGCCGGTGATTGGCCGCCTGTGTGCCTTTCCTGAGCTACAGTTCTGGCGGCCAATCACCGGTGAGGAGGCGGAGCCGAGCAGCCGCACGAACATACCAGTGGCCGAACTGAAGGGAGACGCCGCGCTTCTGGACCGGATCGTCGTGGGACTGGATCCAGGTAAGAGACATCAGCCCCTGCAAACCCCTGTACTTAATGCCGCAGCCCCCTAACAACACCCCCCCGGTGTACCGGCGTATAAGACGACCCCCGACTTTTGAGAAGATTTTCAAGGGTCAAAAAGTCGTCTTATACGCCGGCAAATACTGTACTTACACTGGTTCTAGCTTGACCAATGTAACTATGAAAAAAAGCCATATCTAAAATTCAGCTCCAGGGGTGTGGACAATTTTTGAAAAAACTACTTGTCCAGGGACTAAATCGTTGCCCCAGTCTACTTGTACCTCATCACACTCTACTTGTCCAGATTAAAAAAAAAAATTTTTTTTAACCAAAACCGTATTTAAATTGGAAGTGATAATAGGAATGTTTTAAAAACAAAAAGGGGTTTTATGGTGACTTAAACGCTTAATAATTTTAACATTGCGCTGTTTATTGCCTCCTCCCCTCCCTGCCTGTCTCCAGCACGGCAACCGGGGACTAACAGGAAGCAGAAAGACCTTGCAGTGTAATGAGCACTGATTGGGTGCTCGTCAGGAAAGGGGAGTGTCGGGCTTATCCTTTATCCCTTTCACTGCCAGAGCGGTTTTTTGCACAAGATTAAAAAAAATAATGTTAGGCCTGAAGATTACTCAAAAAACCCCAAACATGATATATTTTCTGAAATCAGAGACCCTAGAGAATAAAACAGCTCACGTTGCATGATATTACCGCAAAATTTCAGTAAAAAATACTAGTTCATTTTAGGGACAAAAAAAAAAAAACAATAAATTAACCTTTTTTTTTAGTAAAATATAAAAGATGAGGTTGCACA